CAAAACCTTGTACCACGTTACAGGTTTCCACTTTCAGTTCGATCTTTCAGTTCTTAGTCTGAGCTGAGCTGATGCTGATATTAAAGGTTAAATCACATGGCAATGAGGAATTTGCTAAACTGTCTTGAGAAGTTCCACAGAAGGCAGCTGGTAGGAGTTTGACCAAACTGACAGCTTCACTCCATGTTGCCTTCTTATGGGTTGGTCATTCTAAGTGAACGGGGAACTAGTGTGAAAGATCAGGTTGTAGATTTTTAACATGGACTTGAGATAGTTAAGGAATTAGGGCTCTAGTTCTTTCTTGACACAAAAGACTATTGTTACAGAAAATGGTGCAGGATGTGGTAGGAACTGATATAGTATATCATGTTGATACCAGACAGACCTATATTTCAATCCTAGCTCCACCAGTTACTACACTGGGACCTCCTGGAAGTCACTTAACCTCCTGGTCTTTGTTTCTTTACCTATAAGATGGGAATAAAAATATCCCCCTGACTTATAAACTTTTTGTAAAAACGAAATGAGATGCTGTGTATAAAGCACCTAGCATCACTTAGGACAAACTGAATATTTAATATGGTAGCAATTATTTCCTCTATTAAGAGACAGAATAAGAAAAGTAACCTTAAATCAGAATGTCAGAGAAGATCCTGACATGTATGTCTTAAGAGGATTTAGAATAAATTAAAGAAAGAAGTTTAGGGAATAACTTTTCTTGGAAATCTCTGTAATATTGGCCTGCCTCTCCATGGTAACTTAAATTGTCCTTCCATTGAGATTGAAAACAAATAATTAATAGCAAATCTTCCATGCCTGAGATGATACAAATGTACCTGAAGAAACACTATCTTTTGTTAAGAAACACGAAATATGCTCCTATTCTTAAATGTGGTACTGTAAGTACATACTGTCTTCACTTAAACATCTGTTCAGAGATGTGGTTATTAATGGAATTTAACCGGAAGGCCTGGCTGCAGGATAGGCAAATCTGTGTCATTCTTTCCTCACTGTTTGCCAAATGTTGGGATTTAGAATTGCAATCAAACTCATCTCTAAGGATCACATTTGAATGTTTTTTCTTTACCTATGCCTTCTAAGTGGCCAAAATAAAGAACTGGGGACATATAATTGTTACCTTAGAATTAGCCAGGTGGAAAAGTGAGGTCATGATGGCCTGCCTAAGAAGCAGGGAAATTTTACCTGTTACTACTTGAGCTCCTTAAATTATAATTAAAACATTACTTGGAGTCCACGGCAGTCTTTGCTTTAGGATTTTGACAACTTCTTTTATTTTAATCAAGAGATTGGTTTCAACAATATGTTAAGGATTTTATTAAAGGTTCAATCTGGTCACATTGTATTAGTTTATTATATCTATATCTATATCTATATCTATAATTGGGTGAAAAAAATGGTCCCCAATTTACTTGGGTCAAAAGCACTTCATAGAAATCTGGATAATATAGAAAACACTTCTAAAACAAAATTCCAAAGAATTCCAAAAGTAATAATAATTCTGTGATGGTTGCAGAATAAACGTCCAAGTCAGTTAATAAACTAATCAGCAAATATTTGTCGTAAACATATATTATTTATTCAGCACTGGACAAGGTTGAGATGGGGAAAGTGAATAGTCCAGAAAGAGTATAAGACATGGCCTTTGTGCCTAATCAGGGGTATAATAACATAAAGGTTATAACGAAGGACAAGATTGTAGAGTTCAGGTTATATAGGCATAGGCATAGGGGTTTCAGATTTTAGCATTGTTTCTACATGGCTTTTGAAAATGTATATGTGTTTCACTTCTTTTGTAGTATTCTAAGCCGACGCTGCTTTTTTCATACTAGCTTTATCTAAGCGTCTGTTTGGGATTTCATACAAGGAAACTTTCTGTGTCCCTTCTTGTCTGAATCGCCTTGTTGAGATAATCATATTGATCAGAAGTTCTAAATCTTTATGTGCTCAGGACTACTTGTATGTCTTAACGATATTTGGGAGATGCCCCCTTGATTGTCAAAACTAAGGTTTCTGACCACTCCTCTCTGTCCAACAGCATTTATACAACTTTAGATTATCGCCAAACACTGATCTATTGCTTCTTTCATGTCAAATGATTGCCAATTTCTATTGGATTCCCTGCCTACCAATGGCACCTTCCAGCACTAAAATTTTCCACAGTGGCCAGAGATGGGAGGAGTGGTGACCCAATATTAACAGAGGAAAACAAAATCAGAGAGTAAATAAAATGTATGTATAAAATTTCTCATTGAATACCATGCACCAAGAGTTCTAAAACTTAAGCATTCAACAGCATCACAGGGACCACACTTCGAGAACCACTGCTGCACATGGATTAAAATCATTTCCAAATAACACTTAATCAAAATGAAAAGCCATCACACTTTACTCTGTGTCAGGGAATTCTTAACCTCAGACACCCTAGAGACCTTTTGATAGGTTTCTAGGCATCCGTGTTCCCCCGAAATTGTATTTTATATTATATGAGCATGTGCAAGATTTCATCTGGATGCTTGAGAGGACCCACTGCTCGCAAAAGATTTTCAAGTGGTTCATTTACCCAAGCACAGCTTAAGGACTCCCACTGACGCCATGCAGAGAGAGTAAAGCCAACACATTTAAGGAGACATTGATATGAGAACATAGCAGAACAAGGAACTTTACAGTTTATAGAGCCATGTGTAATTCTATTACTACTACATTGACCTTTGTAATCAATCACTCTATCTTTTTGGGCTTATCCACTGACAAGATGTAAATCAACCAACCGATCAGTCAACAAGTTTGGACGAAGCACCTATTATAGGTCTAGCATGGTGTTGACTCAATGGTGTATCCAAAGAGTTCAAAGTCCCTGCTCAAATGTACCTCTGTGAGAGGACACAGACATCTAATACTTATAAGCCCCATGACAGTAGGAACTTTGTCTTAACCGAAACTCTGTCTCTAGTGCCTAGAAGAGCACCTGATAAATGGTAGAACCACTCATTAAATGAGTGAATCAAATACCTCTGGATATTTGTATTGTAAATGTCATAATGACATTGCCAGATGAGCAAAATGTCCACAGTGGTTGATTGGACAAGGCTCTTAAACTTAGAGAGTATTGCTGAATGAACGAAATATGGGCTCTAACTAATAATGCATATCTATAACATGCAAACTTGACTAAGGGAAAAAACTGAAATTTAAATATGACACAGTTTTAAATTTTTCTTTATATCCTATGTTCAGCATCGGAAAGAACTCATTAAAAGACTGTAGGCTAGGAAAATCACCTCTCCACTGCAACCTTTCTTTTTAGCAAGCAGTAATGTTGATGGCAAAGGATTCAGCAAATGAAAAGCATTCCAGCCTAACCACACATATCCATCATTCTCCCTTCAGTAAGTGTGAAGCAGGCAAGCCCTTACCTAGATTTAAAGCTGATGAATCATCTGTTTAGTTTCACTAAACTTTAAGGGGCTGTTCAGCTTTGTAAATCTGAAATACTTGTCAGCCTCTGGATCCTTTTAAACAAGGACAACATTTAAAAGGAGGCACTTAAAAGGTTTCTTGAGGAATCTCTAGTTTCTAATTGCATTAGATCTTCTTTCAATTCAAAAAAAAAGCCCTTTTCTCTCAAAAATCCTGAGAATGTTATTTTTTAATTATGCATAGATGCTGACTATATCAAATAAATAAATAGAAATATTAATGATTTCCTATATTAGGTCATCTGTTTATTGAAACTGAGGTTCCTCCTTTTCCATTCTCTCCATGGAATCTCACACATCCCCTCACACACATTAGAAGAAAGAAAATTCCTTCTTCTGGGGAACACCTGTCTTGAGAGTTCTTAGGTGTGCAGTTTCTGAGCATGCCTAGGGTCTAGTATACAAATGGTGCAGTGACTCTCTTGAAAGGCACATTTGTCGCTGAAACTTCAGTCACCTGGAGACTGCATGCCTCATTGCTTGCAGCAGCTCAATCCTCACAGTGTGGAATGAGTTCAGAAATCTCATTTGAGCAACAGAATTTGGATTGAGAGCCTAAACAGCACAATGAATTTAATGCTGAAATAATTATTCTTTGTTATTTTTGCTGACTGTGGATTTTTTTTTCTTTTCTGTTGCTATTGGACTGTTATGATAATCCTGCTTTAGTCTGGATTCTTTAATGGACAAGGAAGATAACAGACTCTGCAAACTAGCACATCAGGTGCACAATCATTATTTTTACACATAGAAATTTTCTGCTTCTTTTGCTATGCAAACACATATACACTTAATTCCTGGAATCCCTACTACATTTATAAGCCACTGCTTGCAGACACACACACACACGAGACACAGAAACATAAACTCCCTACATATAAAAATCAAGCCAGGCTGAAGATGTGAATAGGTGGATATGGCACCAGGTGGATGTGTAATCAGTAATAAGAAATACATAGAGCCCCATAATGAAAGAAATCCCCCAAACTGTTCAGAATTCCCCCTCCCCCTTTCATTCACTGATTTATTAACCCTGAACAAAGATGTAATTGCAGGGTCTCAGAAACAACTTTTTTTTTCATTTTTTTTTTTCCATTTTTTGGTGTTTGTTTTGTTTGACTTTGAAATTCTTAATATCTAGTTGTACCATTCATTGCCTGTTTTCTTCACTCAGTTGCCCATCTTTCCCCCCTCCCTCCCCACCCCGAAATGAAAGAAGCATTAGCTTCTGAGTCTTAAGGATGAGACCTCTGCATTTTCTTTGCTTGTTTAGGGCAAGAAATGAAGTGCTGCCTCTTTAATTGGCAGAAGCATGCAGGAGGAGCATACCTTTAATTTAGTGTTGGGATACCTCACTTGCACCCTGGCTGTTGTCTTATTGGAGACGGCAGCCTGCCTGAGATCCTCTAGCACTGAAATAATATCATCCAGCACGCATTTCTTATCCTGATTTCTCAACACACACAGATGGGAAAAAGTATAATTATAGCCCCTGTGGTTCACCTTCATTTCCAGCACGGCTCGGTGGGTCTGCAGGATCCCCTCAGCCTGGAGCAAAATATTGTCCCCGGGTGGGGAGAGGAGGATCACCCTGCCATACCTCCCAGGGGTGTGTAAGTCCGAATAGAGCTGGCTTTTGGACTGGTCCAGGGGGAAAAGGCTGCTGGCCAGGCTGCGCTCGATCTTGGCCAGGCTGTGGCTGGGAGCAACCAGGCGCTCCAGGTCGCTTTCGGGCTGGAAGCGGTTGAGCGCGCTGAGGCCGAAGGTGATGGTCAGGACTGCGGGCACGGTGAGGAAAAAAACCGGGTGCCGGCTCACGCACAAGCCCAGCCTGTGGCAGAACGACTGGAGCCCTCTGCGAAGCACCTGCCGCAGCATCCTCCACCAAATCCAGCTTGCAGGCGCTCCCGGCAGTCTTAAAAAGCACATGTGACATGTGTAAGCGCCGGGCTATCCCGGTCTCCCCCATTCCACCCTCTCTGGGCCAGCCCCCCTATCCCCCACCGCTGCCTCTCCACCCCCTCCGTTTTCACCCCCCAACCACTCCGCCTGGTCTTTCCCCGGCCCCACCTCCATGCGCTCCTACTACTCTTTCAAACACTGCAGCAAGTTGCAGCAAGGCGGGCAAATATTGACAGCGCACGTGGGGGTGGCGACGGGCGCTGCAGGGGCGCCGCGGGGCCCACCCCTTCTCCGGCCTCCCCTCGCCGCTGCCGGCGCCCCCTCTCACCGCATGAGCAGCGTTCCCTCCGCTTAGCCCTTCATCTCGCTGCTGCAGTCCCCCGGCCTCCCTCGTTGGAGGCGGTTCCGTGCGGAGCGTCCCACCGATGTGCCTTTCCTCTCGGTCCTGATGGGGTTCGGTGCCTGACTGGAACCATTGGCCTCGGTGTTGTAAGAAGCAGACAAGTGCCCCGTGAGGAGGGAGGGGAGGGAGGGAAGGGGCAGGGC